GTTTATATAGGTGAAACAGGTCGTAAATTAGAAAAACGTATTAAAGAACATGAGGCCGCTATACGGTTAAAAAATAATAATTCACCATGGTATAATCACGTAATTCAGAATAATAATTGTAAATTAGATAAAAATAATGTACAAATATTACATAATGAAAAGAATATTTATAAGAGAAAATTTAAAGAGCATGTTAAAATAATGAAATATAATAATAAAAACAGCAATCAATTAATAAATGTATCTAACGGAATGCAAATAGATCAAAGATGGTATTCTGTAATAGAGGAAATTGACAGATGATGTCATGAAATAGAATAGTCAAAGGGGCGTGTCATTTAGAATTGTACCAACGACCGTTGAACAGAAGCCTAGAGTATGATTTATTGTAAACGGTATGTTACTTAAAAATTAAATTTTATAAGTTATATTTAATCACCATTTTAAGAATCTTGTGAAAAATGTTTTTTAAAATTTATTTTTTAAAAGGAATTTTTTAAAATTTGGAATTGTTGTGAATAATTATAGATAATGTTTTAATCTAGAATAATATTTATTATAGTAATTTAGAAATACGACCATAGACAATCAGAAAACGTTACTAAATACACTTGATATGAAAGTGCTAATGAAATGTGAATCCAAGCTGTGTACTTAAATGGTAATGAAAAACTAAAATATTAATTGTTACATTGGTAGTTTTACTCGCATAAGGTTTATTATAATATTTATATTTTGTAGTACTGAAGAGGGTTCTTTAATAGGACCGAAATGCATATACAGTGATTAAATAAAGAGAAGTAATTAGCTATCTGCTGTGTGATGGTCTACCGCTAAACCGAAAATTTATATATTTTTCGTGCGGATTTACAGAGACTTTATAATATTTATATATAAACAGCAGTCATAAGAAATTTAATTAAAAACTATATTATTCCTACCAAAAGCACTCCAGCCAAGTTTTACACGTCTGTTTATTTCCTCCTTGATGTTGCCATTCATTGATATTCTTTGTCCCAGGTAAATGTAGGCATCTACCTTTTCCAATTCCATATTATCTACAGTCAACCACCCCTATAACGCAGTAGATACGTTCCACTTTACAAGAATTTCATGTTGTAGGAAACCTTAAATACATGAGCCAATCACAACCCAGCATGTGTGCAGTTTACAGACTACGGCTGTTTGAAAAGTTTTCTTCCATAAAATTAATCGATTCTAGACTAATTTGACTCAACATTTCCAAAACACATATAATTTTTTGGGAATAATCCGTATAAACTATTCTATAAACAAAAAATTGTAGGATTACTTACTGAGTGTGCACTGTTCGACGACGCCATTGCTTAAGCTTGTTTTTGTTGTGGAGCAGTGCACCAAATGGCAGGCGCATTTTCTGATAAGTTATTTTTCTGCGAAAAATTTGATGAACTTTGGAGACATCATTAATAGAAATAATTTTAATTAATTAATAATTATCCCCTTCCGACCCACGTTCGAGTCTGACTCAAGCAAGGTTTATAGCGTTAAAAAAACCGGGTGTTTGGGCCCCCCAAAAAAATTTTTTTTTTATTTTTGGAATGTTTTTTAAGTCCCCAAATTTTTTCAAAATTTTTTTTCCTGCATGAAAAAATTTTATAGCGATTTTAATCAACCTTTAATGGCGTGCCCTTCACGCTTTATTGCTTTTTAATTGTTTTTTAATGGGAGTTTTTTATCAAATTTATTTCATCGTTCTAAAGTTGTAGTGCACCGATTTTCCTTCAGTAAAGTTATTTAAAGCTAGTTTCTGATGTCAAAAAACGACCTCCGATAGTTTTTTAATTTTTTTAATTAATAGATTTTATTATATATATGTTTAATTAATTAGGGGGGGATCGGAAATCGCAATAAAAATTATAATTTTTTAAAAATATTTAATAGCCGTTGAATAAGAAATGTTTTTTTCACAAGAAATGTATAAAATTACAGTACTGTATTAGACTTACAGTATCTAATTTATTAACTGTAAAGACGATAGTAAACTCAACTTACCCGCCTAAACTCTCCGTAACGTTTAAGTAGTTTGGCTGCTTGTCCACTTTTGGTCCAGATTTGACCAATCCTGTCGTGACACGAGTCGGCGATGACGTTTTACCGCATTTTACGAGTCCCTTTTAGCATCTTTATACGAATATGGTCACAATTTTTTCACTGCGATATACGAATCCACATTATATGAACCCGCGTTATAGGGGGTCGACTGTACTAGTAGTGTTTCTTCACATACAAAACTGTTGTACATAATTGATTCGTTTTTTGAAACCGTGTTTTCGTATTTATTTACTATTGAACACAAGACTGTTATTATTATTAAAACACTTGGCGTTTATCCACTTTATTCAGTTGATACGGGCACTTTTACACGTTTCGGGCATATAGCCCCTCATCACAAGAAATGTATAAAACATATCTTAAGTAATCATCTATAAACCAACTTCTTTACTTTTGTTTGCAATTCTTGAATCATGTCCTGGAGCTCTGAAGGGTTATCTATAATGATGGGAATGTGAGAT